GTGACCCGTGCGCGCGGGCCCACGTTCCATGGCCGCCCGCGCGCGCATGTCGGGCCGTTGGGCATGCGCGCGCGCATTTGCTGCCGAAGGAGTCGTGCATTGTCGATCGCCGAAATGTACCATTGTTGGCTTGGGAACTAACACGAATGGTTAACGGTGCCCGATCGGATTCTGAAGCATGCCGTCTCCTGTGAAAATCTCATCTAGAACGCAACCATGTTTGCGCGAGAACTCAAGCAAACCTGCATCGGTCACCGACCAGTGCGCGCGGGGGATACGTGCCACCCGCGCGCGCTCGTAGAGTCCTGTATTCGCCGCCGTGGGCAAGTCGCCATGTTGGCCTGGGAACTACAACGAGCCCTTAGCGGCGACCAACCGGACGTTGAAGTTAACACGCGTTTCTGGAACATTTCCCCGTGTAGAACGCGCGCGTTGGGCTCTGAGAAAACCCAAATGAAATTGGAGTTGTCAATGGTCAGCGCGCAGGCGTGGCGCGCGTCGCCCGCGCGCGCGTTTGTATAATTCCGCAATGTCCAAACGGGAAAACATAATGTTGGTCTGTGACCTACCATGGGCTCTTCAGGGCGGGCGATTGGATTCCTATTTTCGAATGGAATGTAGTATGGGAGTTATACTAATGCGGTTGCAGAATTGCGCGCGGGGCGCGCGCGTCCATGTGCGGAGTTCTGTATTTCTGGCAATGGTAAAATCGCAGTGTTGCCTTGGAAATTACAGGGAACCTTCAAGGTTGACCACTTGTATTCAGAAATTAAATGTATCCTGATGCGCGTCTTCGACGATTGATAATGAAACACTCCCCGCGCGCGCGTTGGCCGCGTTTGGAGCGCGCGCGCGTGAAGAGTCTTGCGTTGCCTCAAATATAAAGTAGCCGTGCTGGTTTTGAAATTAACACTTAAGTTTGGCTGGTTGGATTTTGAAATAAATGTGCTCCGCGTCTGCAATTGGCCTGCCGCGAGCCTGAACCATATGTTGTTGTGGTTGCAGCAGTTGTGAGTTTCGTCTTCGGTTGATTACCCTAATCATGGGGCCACGAAGCGTGTGAGAGGTGTGCAAGAATTTGCGTGGGGGGGGGCAAGCGGGCGCCGCCACTGGGGCTTCGGTAGAAGTCCCCATTAGGCAACGTAACGTGTGAGGGTTGTGCCGAAATGTGTCTGGGGGAGGCATGCGGGCGCGGCCGCTGGGGCCTTCGGTGGAGCTCCTTATGGGGCCACGACTCTCGTGAGGGGTGCGCCGAATCTGATGCCGATGTTTGTGACGATGACGGGGGTTATGATGGCGACGGTGGTGGCCGCGATGATGACGATGACGACGATGGTGATGCTGATAAGTGGTGATGATGGTGGGGGTAGGGGACGGATAATGATGGAGCCAGTGTTAGAAAGTGGTGGTGATGATGATGGATGATAATGATGACGGTGATGGGACAGATGGGTGATGATGATGACTGCGATGGGAGGATGGAGGAGGGGGGAGGAGGGAGGAAGGAAGGAGACGCAGGGCGATGTCTCTTCAAAACGAGGACCCAACACCACATGAGGGTTAGGAAAAAAACGAGAAAGACGTCAGTCGGCGTGCCGATGGGCATGCGGAGGGCCGCGTAATATTTTAGTATCGCCAGTAATGGGTACGACTGTAGTCTAGCATCGGGGACGGCGATTCTGGTCAGTGGATGGCGCCGATAGAAACTGAATCTCAATGGTGGCTCACGTGGAACGAACATTTTGGAATATCCAATGAAATCGGTGCGACAGGGCCCTTCTGGAGCTGTCGCGTTTCATTCGCGCGCCGCCCCATGCCCCCCCCCCCCCCCCCAACCAGATGAGCACGGGTGTTCAGACGGTTGCGTGGCATGTCCACGGGGGCCGAACCCAATACTTGCATTTGTACGTGACTGAAGCCCTTGGACCCACTTTACATATCATTGTAATTGCAGGAAGCAATACGGCGACGATTACCATTATTGTTTCGCCGCAGTTTGAGTCAGTGGCTAGAAGTTTCAGATCATACTTGTTACTTGTGTTTCTCACAACTTGTGTTTCTCACGTTCTGGGATGTCTCAGCCTGAAAATGGCGCCGCTGGTGGTCCGAGCCCAATTTTGCAGCAGAAGGTCAAGGTCAGAGGTCACTGCCTACGACTCCAACTCGAAGTCGACGGGCTTCCAGAACAACTCGGGGGAGTACTACGTTTTCGTGTGCCAGCTGAGATCGAGCTTACTACGAGGGAAGTTGGCGGCGACAGCAAGTCGAAGAAAAAGGCGTCTCTGGAGGCCGCCAGTTCGGGGGGCCGCGGCGACAGTTCTGGGGCCGATGCAGGGCCGCCAGCAGCAAAAAAGCAGAAGAGCGAGGCTGCCGATAGCGACAGTGAGGTGGAGTTGATTTCGGAGAAGCAGGCCCACAATGAGAAACAGCTGCTCGAGAAGAAGACTGGCGTCCACCCACAGGCGACGGCGTCCTCCCAGCCGCAGCCCACGCTTCCATTTGATCAGCGGGATGAGGCGGCGGGCGCTCACCCTCTCCCACAACAGCCGTCTCTGACGGACGTGCAGACAGCTAACGCCGACGCTGGGAGCGCCGCCATTCGAGGCTGGACTGCCGACGCTGCTCCTATATTGCCTGATGATGCCACCCAGCGCGATACCCTGGCTGCTTTAGCGGAGCCGACCCTCGTGGAAGAGTCACAATCGTACGAGCCTGGGGACGGCGGCAACAACAACGAGAACATGCCACCTCCAGCAGTTCCTCCACCCGCCAATCGTGTATCAGAAGCGCCGCGTCCACGGCCAAGGTTCGCGGCAGGAGTGTTGAGCGAGCAGGGGCAGCGCGACGGCGGCGGCCGCCCCAGGGTGTTCAGGGCGCAGATGGGGACCTTCGCGCAGCAGGTTGATGAGTACCTTCCGACGGATACTCCGCCATCCACGCTCACGGCTGACGAGACGCAGACGCAGCTGCGCTAATATATTGCATCTGCCAGGCTCGCTCGGCAATGACTGAGGGGGGAAGGCATTCAGGATTCATAGGGGAAGGGAAGGATGGTTGAGTAGGGATGTGGGGTCGGAGTGAGGAGGAGGGAGGAAGCACGAGGAGTAATATTTCGAAGTTGCGCGATGCGCAGCTTGGTGCATCGAGAGGTGCCGCTGGGCACGCCTCCACTCGTTTGTCTTTCAGTCTTTCAGACTCTCAGGCTGACGAGAGCCGCAATAATGTAAAACAAGAAAGGGTGCTGAGTCTCCGACACCGTATATTGCAAGCAATTGTTATTTGGAGTCCACGCTGGTAAGATTGGTGACGGCGACGACGACGACGATGACGATGACGACAGCAAGGACGACGATGACACGGACGACGAAGACGTGGTGTAATATATGTGGTGCTTGCTGCAAGCCGTGGCCAGCAATCTACTCGTGCAACTTATGATGTGTTGCAATCTATGTGGTGCAGCCTATGCGGTGGAATCGATTGGCCATGCCGCCTAGGTGTGTCCTCTCGGCAGAAACTTCTTGGTGGAGCCCTCTTGGTCTGGCAATCTAGGGGGAACTCGGGCAAACCATCTAAGATGGACCCGTGTTTGTGGTGCAATCTATGTGGTGCAATCTATGGTGCGAGCCGTCTTTGGGGGTGCGTCTATGTTGTGCAATGTTGGGTGCGTTCATTGCCATTTTGGCGGGCACACTGATTCGTGTACACTCCGATTGTGCTTGTCTCACTATCAGATATAGGCCTCACGGCGAGATTGTCAGAGCGGAGTGACAGGTGAATGTAATATCAGATTTGCTCAGTATGAAGCTGTCTCAATGTCAGGTTGGGATTGTCTCACTATCATATCGGGATTGTCTGACTGCCTCACTGACATATACAGGCACATCGAAACGACATGTGAATCTGCCATTGTGGGATTGTCTCACTATCGGGTTGGGATCGTCTCGCTGCCAGATTGCATTCACATCGGAGCGACGGATTGCCTCTACATATCGGTGGGCTTGTCTTGCTATCAGATATAGGCTCAACCGCCTGCAACCGCGGCGGGCTCGCCAAATTCCGTCCTCGTCGCCAGGTACCCCCGCTGGACTGCCCAAACTCTGGGCCCTCGAGAGCCACTCCTAAACTTAAAAAGCTCCGAGCGTTAGACAGTCCTTTCAAATGCAATGTTCGGTCGGGTGTTCACTTGGCGGGGTGTTAGGCCTGCTGTCCGCACCGAGCTCCAGGCCAGGCAGGAACCTTGGGCATGTGGCCTCCAGGACTTCTGATACTCCAGTGGGCGCGCGGGTGGGGGTCCAGAGCAGGGAGGGCCGCTGTGGCCCGACAAGTTTGTGGATTTGAGAACGAAGGGGTTACTTGGCTTTCAGGGGCCCCTCATTTTGGATGCCCTCTCAAGATCTTCGGCCATCGTGTAGGCCAGGTAGAGCTCTCTTGGCTCCCCTCAAATCCATGCCATGCCATCGTGGACGCTCCCACGCCCCGCGATCCCCCTCGATACCTAGTGGGCGGTGGCGGTGGCCTGGGAACTCCCTTCCCCGAAGGGTAGGAATGGAATGTGTATGGACTCAGGAGGTCCTGAAGCAACCAGGCCTGCGAATGCAGGCCGCATTGCACGCGTTGCATTGTGCGCGCTTGCGTTGCTGTATCGGAGGTTTGGTTTGGCCTCTCCTTGGGCTGTTCTACTGATCGGTCTGCCCCGTGCTCTTCCAATGAGGGGTGTGTAGGTGACCATGCCACCCTCTGTGGCCAGTTCATTGCTCTACACCTTACTCTATAATAGGGGCCCAAGCCCAAGCCTCGGGGCGACTTTGAACTTTGATGTTCGGACACTCTGACAGCACCCCTGTGCCAACACTGGGGGCGACCGTGGCGCCGCGGCAGCCATGCCTCCCGGTGTGCCTGGCAGCTCGGTGCCCAAGGGCTGCGGCAAGGGCGCCAAGGGCAAGGGCAAGGGGAAGGACAAGTCTGGCCACAAGGATGACAACGCCGACCTCCACAGCAACATGGGCGGCAGCGCGATGAACGTCAAGACCGAGGGGCCGCCATCTGCCAAGGCGCCTCGTCGACCAGGTGCTGCGGGAGCAGCGTCTGCATCCACGGCGTCTCCCGCGGGGAAGACCGCCCCCAACAGGGCCGCCGAGCCCCGCCCCTACTTGACGAACAGCGGCGTGGACGCCTACATGGATGAGCTGACCGAGGCGCCCTCGAAGTGCGGCCGCAATGATTGCCCCAACACTCTTGCCAAGGCTGGTGACAACGAGGAGTTCCGCTGCAAGGAGTGGGGTAACTACAGCTTCGAGTGGAAGAAGGTTGGGAAAGAATGGAGGGAGGTCGTCTGGGAACGAACTCGCTGGCACGTTTTCGGTGCATCTGTTTCCGACGGGTCCTGGGTTCCCAAAGCGGAGGGCCCTGACTGACCGCCATTCGGGTTTGTGTTTTTTATATGGATGTGTTCGGTGCTTCGCTCTATCAAGGTTTATGGGGCGTTAGTTTTGAGGGTTCAGGATCACGGATGTCGAGTTTGAAAGTTTCCGAGTGTGGAGCTTTGGGAGCTGGCAAGGAACGTTAGGGCCGTGCTTTTCCAACCCTCATCCCCTCGCCGTCGCAGGTCTACTTCCCTGCGGGACCCGCGTGCTGGCTCTGCGGGCCAGTGTGCAACACCTTCGCTTTCGTCGGAAACCCCGCAGCGGTCATCGACAAGTGCAATGAGGACCCGAGCTTTGCGGAGGTGTTTGTCGCCGCCGTGCGGTCTAGCCAGCACCGCGCCTTCTTCTACTCCAGCGACGTGTACCGCAACCAGTCGCACTTCACCAGGGTTTCGAAGCGCAAGCGTGGACTCACTGCCGCAGAGTTCGAGGACCTTGGGCTTCAACCTGTGAGCAATTCTTGACGCTTCGCGTACTGAACAACCCACAAAACAACAAAACATAACTGAACCACAAATTCAATATAACCACATATCTTTCAAATAAACATCCATCACACAATAACAACACATAAATGGATTACAACCCCACTTCAGCATCATCTAATTAACCATCATCATCAGTCCCATCAGGAACGACGCCTAGGCAGCTTTTGAGGTGATCAGGAAGTGCGTATCTTTTTGTTTTTTTTTTTTTTTTTTTTGCACTTTTTTCTTTCCACCAGGAAGAAACGCTTTGGGCCTCTTGAGTCCAATCCCTTAGAGGCCTAAAGGCATCGGACTTAAGTGCCCAAAGCGTTCTTTCTCTTCCTTTTCACCCTCTCCCTCCTTCCATTCCTTTTCTCCCTCTCCACTGAAGAACGCTTTGGGCATCTTGAGTCCAATCCCTTTGAGGCCTAAAGGCATCGGACTTAAGATGCCCAAAGCGTTCTTCCTTCTTCCACTGGAAGAACGCTTTGGGTATATTAAATCCGAGCGCTTTGGGCATCGTAAGTCCGATGCCCAAGAGGCTCCAAAGAGGCCCCAAGAGGGCTCCAAGACGGCCCCAAGAGGGCGCGATTTTCTACTACCAGACGACCCCCCGCTGGTTGTAGAACATGTTGCCCTCTTGGGGCTCTCTTGTGGCCCTCTTGGGGCCTTCTCGGTGCCCTCTTGGAGCCCTCTTGGGCCCGCAAGAGTTTCCAAAGTTCTCAGATGGCCCCAAGACGGCCCCAAGAGGGCTCCAAGACGGCCCCGAGAGGGCCCGATTTTCTACTACCAGACGGCCCCCCGCTGGTCGTATAATATGTTGCCCTCTTGGGGCCCTCCTGAGGCTCTCTTGGGGCCCTCTTGGGGCCTTCTTGGAGCCCTCTTGGGCCCCCAAGATGCCCCGAGAGGGCCCCAAGAGTGCCCCGAGAGGGCTCCAAGACGGCCCCGAGAGGGCCCGATTTTCTACTACCAGACGCCCCCCCCACTGGTAGTAGAACATGTTGCCCTCTTGGGGCCCCTCTGGGGCCCTGTGTGGGCGCTCCTGGAGGCCTCTTGGGCCCCCAAGAGGCTCCAAGAGGGCCCCAAGAGGGCCCAGGAGGGCTCCAAGACGGCCCCAAGAGTGTCCGATTTTCTACTACCAGAGGCCCCACCGCTGGTAGTAGAAAATGTTGCCCTCTTAGAGCCTTCTTGGGGCCCTCCCGTGGGTTCCCCAAAAAGCTTTCGGGGACATCCGAAGGGGTGGAGGGGGGAGGTGGAGGGGGTGGAAGGGGGGTGGAGGGGGAGGTGGAGGGGTGGTGGAAGGGGGAGGTGGACCGGGAGGTGGAGGGGGAGGTGAGGAAGGTGGTGGAGGGGGGGTGGATGTGGGGGGGAGGGTCTGGTGGAGGGTGAATCAGGGATCATACCCCAGGGGGGAAGCAGGGAGAGGGGGTTCTGGAAGAGGAAATGCCCTGGACCACTTACGCCCAGAGGGCTGGTGGGATTTTGCCATTGTTCTTCAGTTTTGTTAAACAAGTCACCCTGGGGCTGGCCGTTTTTGACAGTTGCGGCTTGGGCCGACGCATAGGCTCTCTCAAGGGTGGGGCGTAAATCAAGAATGCTCTGGAGAGGCGGCTGGTCGGCGGACGGGGGTCTCGGGAGGGGGGAATCGGACATCGAGGTGGACGGAGGTGGAGATGGAGGGGGAGGATGACGATAGTGCAGACACGGTGGTTACGCGAAGGGTAGGGAGAGTGCGCCCCCGCGTGCGATTCCCGTTGCCGCCCCAGGAACACTTTAAGCAGAGCCACGAGGTTGAGGGCTTCAAGCTCTCGCTTGTCGACAACCCTGACGACCCGACCAGCAAGATGCAAGTGGTGCTGGTCAACGAAACTGGTCGGCTGGGCGACGTGGGCGTCCTCGTCGAGTACGGCGTCTCGCGCAGCACGTCCGAGGACGAGTACAGGCTGATAGCGGGGGACCAGCTGGTGGCGCCCCAAGGCAAGGACTGCTTCGCCGAGATGGTTCGTCCGAGTGGCCAGGAGGACGCCCAGTACAAGCGATGCCGCCTTCAGAACATCAGCTACGACAACTGCCTCCCGAAGGCCACTGCGACCCCCAATGGCGACGACCAGACGAAGGCCGACGAAGAAGGTCTGGCAGATGCTGGCGACGACTTGGATCAAGTGTCTCCCGAGCAGGAGCCGCCTGCGAAGTTCGGCTATTGGACCAAACTTACCAAGGGGAGGTGGGGCTTCGTCGCTACCGTGGTCGAGTGCAAGGACTACGAAGATGACAAGAACGATGACGACGACGATGCCGCCACCGTTTTCGGGGGGGCGCCGTCCAACGTCCCGCTCAAGCTCGGGGAGAACTTCGAGAGCGTGCTGAACGATAAGATCAAGGCCATCAACCTCACCACCATCGCGAGTGGACTGAACAGCCTCGGGCACAAGAGGGCGCGGCTGAAAGGCAGGAGGGACCAGTTCAGCGCATCCACAAACCAAACTGAGCTCGACGCTGCGGGGCTCATCACGAAGCGCCTCGACTTGGCGGCCTACGCCGAGGATTTGGCGAAGCCAGAACTGCTGCACACGTTGCCCAAGGATGCGTTCGAGTCCAAGATGACTGCTCTAGTCTCGACGGGCATGGTATTACCGGTATCGCTGGCAGTGGAGATAAGCAACAGAGCTGCATCGGCATTGGGGTTGGAGTTAACCAGCGGCGGCTCCGATGATTACGCAACTTTCTTCAAGATCGTATTGCCTTCGAGGGTTCCGCCTGCTGATGGCGAGGATCCGCCGGCGTCTCCCGAGGGCGAAGCTGGCTTTGATTGGCGGGATCCTTGTGGCTTCCAAATCCCTGGCGACGCAGCGTCGAAGGTGGTACGGTTCGAAAGCGCTACATTCTCCTACTTGTTTTGTCCGCTGCTGAGAAGCTGGTCCACGACGCGATCCACGGAGCAGTGCATTCAGCTGTGCCAGCAGGTGGACCAGATCTTGATCAACTCCGTGGCGGAAGACGCGGATGAGGAGATCCAGTTGAGCGTGAACTCCGCGGTGGAGTGTCTGCGGGCAGCCCAGTACGTCATGGACCCCGACCCGTTGAACTTCAGGTTCGCCAGCGACTTCGACGCGGTGACGGCCGCGGAGCCGATCAGCGAGTCTCAGTGGAAGGGCCTCAGGTACCTCTTCAACGAGCGGATGTGCGAGACGACCACGTTCGCGAGCAACGTCACGTCCATCAAGAGGACCAAGGTGAGAGGGGCGATGGGTTGGATGGAGACGTCGAGGGGTGGGTTTATTCCAGACTTGGAGGGGGGCCCAAGTCTGACGGCTGGGCGGGGTGGGCGGCTCGTAGGATGGTGGTTAGGGAGGGTAGGGTGAGAAAACATGAGGGGGTGAGCGGGGGAGGAGGAGGAGGAGGCTATGGTTGGGCGCAGGAAGGCGGTGGTGAATGATCAGGAAACGAGGGGGAAGGCGGATGAGGGTCGTCTTTGGGCGGTATGGGCGAAGGGCATGAGGAGGGCGGGTCAGCCCCCCAGGTGACCCACCCGCTCAGCGTGGACAAGATCCTCGCGGCCACGAAGGTCCTCACTGGGTACGCCGACGCGGTTGCAGTCATGCCGCAGCTGGAGGACGTGGCGAGGACCATGGCAACTCTGAGGAAGAGCTCGCGCGAGGGTGCTACTAAGGAGCTCGAGACGAAGATGTTGGCCTACCTGGAAGCGTTGGCGGCCAAAGTCTCTGGGCTCGAACCGACCCACTCTTGCCCCAATCGTCCTCTGTTATGTGAATGGTCTCCGTCCTGGGGAGCACTTAGAGCCATGCCAGACATCGATGAGACGTGTTCCAAGATGCTCAACAGAATTGTGAGGATGTCCAGCTGATTGTCCCGATTTGTTGCCCCCCTATGGTTGTCCCGAGGGCTGTCCTGATAGTTGTCACGACAGATGAGCAGTAAGGCGACATAGATATTGATAGTGAGATCGGTGCACCGACATTGAGATCGATCAATAGGTGCCGCTAGGTAGGTAATCTACGGATTTGATAATGAGATCGATCGATTGATATATCTATAGGTCGACCGCTAGATATATAAATGGTGGCTCCGATGGTCGCCCCGATGGTTTTCCTGGTGGCTGCCCCGAAGATTGCCCCGATAGTTGGCCTGATGTTTACGATGGTTGCCCATATCATTGCCCCGACGGTGGTCCCGATGATTGCCCTGGAGGTGTCCCCAGTCGTGTCCCCAATGATTGTCGTGTTGGGAGTCCCGATGGTTGTCCCGATAGATACATGGATCGGGGAACCGATAAGTAGATTGATAGTCAGATCGATGTATAGATCGTGATGCCGAAGGGGGCGATGTGATACCTGGTGACGGGTGCTTGCGTTTTCAAGGTGCAAAGTATCGCGGCCGCTTGGAAGTCCAACGCCACGGAGTCTGCGGCGATTGGCAGCACGACCGAGGAGTTGAAAAATACGCAACGCTTTTTGACGATCGCGCAGGACAGCGGCTGCTTCAGGATCAGTGCCAAGGTCACCGCGGCCAAGGAGGCTTGCTTGGAGATCGGGCGCCTCATGAGCATCGAGGTGTCAAAGGAAGGGTTTGGCAACACCATCAGCACGATCCAGCCAGCCGACTTGATGGTTACCGACGCCAGGGAGAGTTTCATCGTCAAGGTTAACGAGATCTTGCGCGTGGCCGATCTGGAGAACCCCTTCCCAGTCCCCGTCAGAACAGCCACCGTCGATCTCTTGAAGGGCGTGTTCGAACAGATGGTCGGGAATCTTGATCACCTCAACAGCGACACGGTCGGGCTCGTCGGGCACGTGATCCAGATATTGCACCCGAGCTCTCCCGAGAGGCGTGATTGGAACGCTGCGCACCGATTGCTGGGCACCGTCGCCGACGCCAGGACCGACTTTCGCAAGTACGTAGCGTCTGGACAGGACTCCGCAGCCAGGGCTAGCATGGACTCCGAC